CTCAGTTGGATAAGCGTCTGACTTCAGCTCAGGTCATGATCTCATGGTCCGTGGGTTTGAGCCTCACATTGGGCTCTGTGCTAACAGCTCTGAGACAGGAGCCTGCTTTGGATTCTGTGTCTCCCTCTCTCTGCTCCTTTCCAACTAGTGCTCTCTCTCTGTCTCTCAAAAATAAATAAACATTAAAAAAAAACTTTCTTAATATGTTTCAAATGGAAACTCAAATAGTCTTAACCTGGGGTGCCTGGGTGTCTCAGTAGGTTAAGCCTCTGACTCTTGTCAGGTCATGATCTCATGGTTTGTGAGTTCAAGCCTTGCATCAGGCTCTGGGCTAACAGTCCAGAGCCCGCTTGAGATTCTCTCTTTCTCTCTCTCTGCCCCTCCGCCATGTTGTCTCTCAAAAATAAATAAATAAACATCTTAAAAAGAGCCTTAACTTCTTTGCTAAGAATCATATATATTTGAGGTGGTTACTGTATTTCTGTCAAATAAAGATATTTTTATAATATCTAAAACCCATCAATTAAATAGGGATATCTTTTAAATTTTCAGCCCAAACCTTTCTGCATATCTTAAGCCTCAATGGAATTTCAGTAAATAGCACACATAGACTGACCACGTTACATATAAGATATATTTCATTTACTCTTCTGTTCTGGATGTCAGGAAGTGACAATTCAAAAGGAAACATAGAACGGATGACCTCTGTGGAAGAGAGGTGCCATTTGGCCTCCTCATTTCAATTTTCCAACATCTTATAATATGATCACAGACTCTTATCTGAACAGCTGGGGAGCCCATACTAATCATTTACAAGTTATAGAAATATTTCTTCATGAACCATCTTGTCATAGAAATCTGTTATAAGAACAAAACCATAAAGAGAACATTTAAAACTTCAAGTGATAATCCCAGGTTAATGACCTCCCTTCCCAAACACTTTGGTATATTAGGCCAGTTCTGCTACAACACACAGAGGTGAATAAATGAAGGACCATGCGAGCAATATGATTTATTTACCTATCCCAGGAAAACCCCAAAGTGAATTCCCAGAGACAGACTAAGCGAGTAGTTTTGGCTATTTGCCTGAAGACAAGCTGAAAGTGGAAAGAAAGGATCTCACAAACCTTAGAGTGGTGGACTTTTAACTGTTACTTTTTATTTACAAGGCCAGAAGGCAGAGGTTTGAACTGAAGTTAGTAATGGGTACTGTAGTGACCAGCCTACAAGAGGCCCCTAATTATTTTCACTTCCTGATATTCTTCCCTTTGTGTGGTCCCCTCTCATACTGAATAGGCCCGACCTGTATAACCAATAGGATATTGCAGAAATGAAAGAACATCTTTTCTGAAGCTATGTTTAAAAAAAAGGCACTGCTTCTGCCTTGATCTTTCGGATCATCCACTCTGGGGAGAAGACACCTATAGTTGCATAAGGACACCAAACAGCCTAAGCTCTATGGAGAAAGTCCATGTAGGGAACTGAGGCCTTCTGCCAATGGCCATGTGAGTGAGCCATCTTGGATGCAGACCCTCTAGCCCCAATAAAGCCTTCAGATATCTGCAGCTTCAGCCAATATCTTGATTACAACTTCATTATAGACCCTAAGCCAGAACTACCTGGCTAAGCTACTCTGAAATTCCTAACCCACAGAAAATGTGTGAGATAATAAAGCATATTGTTTTGAGCCATAAATTGGGGGTAGGGTGTAATTGGTCTCGGCTATACAACAATAGATACCTAATAAGCAATAAATAACTATTAAGTGACAGAAACAGAATTCCAACCCATGTTTGACTCTGAAGGTTGAAAGTTTCCTAATGAAAATTTTAGCAGTTTTCCTTAGTTTACTTATTAAAATAATTAATTCTTTGAAATAAATCAATTTGCATCCTATGAAAAGAAAGGTACATCAGGGGCGCCTGGGTGGCTCAGTTGGTTGTCCCTTTGACTTCAGCTCAGGTCATGAACTCACAGTTCGTGGATTTGAGCCCCGTGATGGGCTCTGTGCTGACAGCTCAGAAAAAGGAACATCAATCTCTTTAATTGCTTGGTCAGTGACATATGGTATTTACTAATGTTGGACTAGTTAGATCTCGGGTACGATCAGTTAGAAGTCAATAAATAACCATGTTATTTTCTGGGAATTCATTACAAGTATTTCTAAAGAAGTCTGATTCATGTTTCAGGAGTTTTTCAGTCAGGATCCCTTATCGAACCTCCTATTTTATGAGATATTAATGTGTATGATTCCATTAAATTTGTTCCTTCCTGTCCATCCTCTGTAACCATTTTAGTACACAATTTTAATTTTCTCAAGAGGATAAATTGTTTCTGAATTACCCTTCACTAGAGTTGCAAGTGACTTGAAGTTCTACCCAAAAGTTGTATCTATATTCACATATGTCATATTATTTTTTATTCCTCAAATATCATTTCAACCTTGGGGAAATAATCTTTTACCTTGAAAGATCTAAACATTTCATACTAAACAAATATTTATATCCCTTGGTCCAGGTGATATGAGTCGTCCGCAACAAAAGAACATCTCAACTATCAGACTTGCGAGTTATTACAGTAAAGATGGGTCTTTCTTCATCCAATACAGTGCTCATTTACTTTGAGGCAGAGCACCTATAACTACCTCTTTACAAAATACAGTACGCCTGGGTGGCTCAGTCAGTTGAGTGCCCGAGTCTTGGTTTCGGCTTAGGTCATGATTTCACAGTTTTGTGGGTTTGAGCCCCGCGTCACTCTCTATGCTGACCCTGTGAAGCCTGCTTGGGATTCTCTCTTTCTCTCTTTCTCTTTCTCTCTGCTCCTCCCCTGCTTGTGCTGCCTGCTTGGGATTCTCTCTTTCTCTCTTTCTCTTTCTCTCTGCTCCTCCCCTGCTTGTGCTCTCTCTGCATCTCTCAAAATAAACTTAAAAAATTATTGAAAAAAGAAATGCTCTATTTCTCTCACTTAAAACATCTGTAGCTATGAAGACTTGAATTTTCAAAAATATAGATTAGGAGGTAATTCTTTGTTTAATGAAAATATTAGCCAGAGGATATATTTGATTTTTTTTTAAATGTTTATTTTTGAGAGAGAGAGAGAGAGAGAGAGAGAGAGAGACAGAGAGCCGGCAAGGGGTAGAGATAGAGACACAGAATCTGAAGCAGGCTCTGGGCTCCTTGTTGTCAGCACAGAGCCCCACACGATGCTCGAACTCATGAACCAGACCTGAGCTGAAGTCGGATGCTTAACCGACTGAGCCACCCAAGCACCCCAGCCAGAGGATATATTTAGATAGTAGGATCTCTAGACTCTATTTACAAATATTTTTACATAGAGATTTAATAAAGTAAAATACAATTCACAGACATGGTCCACATGCTTTATGTTGCAAAAACACTATTGCCTGCTTTAAGCTTCTTACAAGGAATTCCAGTTTTCCCATTACTTATTTGATATGTGTTTCCTTCATAGCCTGGTGCTTTTATCCTTACAATTTCAGTTCTTAAATCACCAGATGTCCAATATTTCAAGTGTCCTAGCTCATTTTAGAGAAGGCTTCATAATTTACCTTCATCTTAAATTGTTTTTGTTTGTTTATAGAAACCATATGCCATGGTGTCTTAGGTAGATAGATCATGAACGTCTATCAAAAAGGGAATTAATTAAATTAGAGTGAGAGATGAGACTTTGTACTGTGGTAAAATACACAATACAAAATTTACTGAAATGACATGTAGTGCATTGATCATGTTGTGCAATCATCACCTGTATCTAATTCCAGAACATTTCCACCAGTCCAGGAGGAAATCTGTACTAGTTAAATTGTCATTCCTCGTTTCTCCCTCTCCAGCCTCTGCCAGGAACCAATCTGTTTTCAATCTCTATAAATTTACCTATTCTGGTTATTTCATATAAATAGGGTCTAAAATATGTGACTCTTTTTGTGCCTGGATTCTTTCACTTAGCTTTATGTTTCAGGGTTCATCCATGTAATAGTACTTCATTCCTTTTTATGGCTGATTAATATTTTATTGTATGGATAAACCACAGTTTGGTTATCCATTTATCAGTTGATGCAAATTTGGGTTGTTTGTGCCCCTTAGTCAAGCTATGGTGAATAATGCTGCTGTGAACAGAAATGCTCTTGGGTATGTACCCAGGAGTGGAATTGCTGGGTCAGGTGGTAACTGAGATGTGACATTTTAAAATGAAATCTTACCGGGGCGCCTGGGTGGCTTAGTCGGTTAAGCGTCCGACTTTCTTTCGCTTCGGTCATGATCTCGCGGTTCGTGGGTTCGGGCCCCGCGTCGGGCTCTGTGCTGACTGCCAGCTCAGAGCCTGGAGCCTGCTTCAGTCTGTGACTCCCTCTCTCTCTGACCCTCCCCTGCTCACGCTGTCTCTCTCTCTCTCTCTCCTAGAAAAAAAATAAATAAATGAATAAAAAATAAAATGAAATCTTACCAAACCAACAAATAGTCCCATTTTGTGTGTGTGTGTGTGGAGGGTGTGTGTGTGTGGAGGGATCATGTTGTTATTTCTCTTTTGTTAACAACTTTTATGGACTCCTATACTTCTCTAGGAAATGTGGTATGAGAGTTTATACCAGGATACTACAAATGGCATCACCAACCCACACCCAACATGAAAACTAACCACTTTTTATACAAAATGCCCACTGATATAAAGCCTGTTGAAAGTTCCCAACCTTAGCAGGTGCACTAGTATGCACCATCAGACAATGAAAGTTACAGGCAAGGAACCTTAGTTCAATTACAGATAGTTGTCATTGGGCCACTCATTAAAATTCTCTGTATCTCAGTTTCTCCATCTGTAAAATGGGGGTAATCCTTCCTCTCAAGATTCTAATGAGGAAAGGGCCTCGCTGTGCACGTAGCTGGAACTTAATAAATATTAGCTCTCTTTTCCCAATACTTTCTTACCCTCTTCAAATTAACTGTTCTTCAAGACAAAAGTATTTTTCTTCTCATTTTCTCTTTCAGGTTAAAGTTAAATTGCCAAATACAAACCCTTCTGATATTCAAATTGATATCCAGGAAATGATCCTTGACCTTCGCACTCCTAATAAGTGAGTAAAACTTAGAACTAGAATAATGTATTAAAATATTAATGAATCTTTAATCAATATTCTTAAAGTGTACCTCACCACTAAAGTCTGACGAAAAGTGAAAAAGTCGTTATTCATTCAGATGTTTGATCTACATAATATAAATATATATGTATATATATTTTTTTGAAACACCTAAAAAACCTTGTTTTTTTTTTTTCTGTCTTGCATCCGTACATTTGGAGTAGGTTGATACCACCAAAATACAGTCTTTGACATTCAGATACCGTTTACCTATCTGTGTGGAAAAATAACTAGAGATGAAAATCTCTTAAGTTGTAAGTCTTGCTTGTGGCTTTTTGTACAGTGATGGCATAAGAGATGCAATATCTTTAAACTTTTTGGTTACTGTGGGACTCTAGGTTCAATTTGATCGTATCCATCTAAAACTTAACAGAAAAATCTTGTCATCAATTCCTTAAAGCAAAAATTCTAACAAATTGAGGCACCTGGGTGGCTCAGTTGGTTGGATGTCTGGCTCAGGTCATGATCTCACAGCTAGTGAGTTCGAGCCCCACATCAGGCTGTATGCTGACAGCTCAGAGCCTGGAGTCTGCTTCAGACTGTCTCCCTCTCTCTGCCCCTCCCCAGCTTGTACTCCGTCTCTCTCTCTCTCTCAAAAATAAACATTAACATTTTTTAAAAAAATCTAACAAATTTATCACTAGCTCCTCAAGTAGTGTAAATACATTCAAAAAGAATACAGGTGATAGTGGAATAATCCAATTAAACATTTTGATATTTTCAAAATAGTCTTCTTATTACACAGGTTCAAATTATCTTTCCAAAGCTCAACACGTACAGTAAGATTCTGACACAAATGTTTGTACTGAAACCTGGAGAAATCAGTCCTGTCTCTCAAAAACAAGTCCATAAAGAGGGAATCAATGGAACCTGGTGTGTGCTAGATAAAATATCTAAATATCTCCCTGCTTGTTTCACTTTTCATCTGAATGTATACTAGTGAGCACACTTTGGTTGATTGCAGTGGTTCTTTCTCTGTTACTCGGGAACATTTCAAACTGGGTGTGCTGAACAGTCAGCTGCTGGCACATTTTCTTTCTTCCATTATCAGTATCCATAATTTTCCCCCGGTTGATCTTAGAATTTCAAAATAATAAAAATAAAAAATAGATCCCTCATACAAAAGACTTCTATGTATAAATGACCCAATGCACATACATAGCTTAACCATGGTTTCTTTTTTTTAAATTTTTTTAAAATTTATTTTTGAGATAGAGAGAGACAGCATGAACAGGGATGGGGCAGAGAGATAGGGGGACACAGAATCTGAAGCAAGCTGCAGGCTCTGAGCTGTCCGCACAGAGCCAGATGCGGGGCTCGAACCCACGAACCGTGAAATCATGACCTGAGCTGAAGCCAGACACACTCAACCAACTGAGCCACCCAGGCTCCCCAACCATGGTTTCTATAGGAGGTGCATTTAGCCCAAAATAATCTACACATGGAAATATATCAAGTACTTTCTCATTACTTATGTAATTTCAAAAAAGTATTCTCACAAAAATTGTCTCATGTTATAAAAATTACATCCACTATTCCTATGATTCACTTCGAGGAGTATTGTAATTTTTGCATTCCTATTATACATGCTTTTACTCTTCCACACAACCTCTGCAAGGCAAGTTGCTTAAATGAACAGTTAATCTTCCATGATATTGGTGTGCTTGTTAAAAGCACATACATATCTACACACCATGGAGTTAATTTCCGTTCCCCTAGAAGTTCTCCATCAATCTTCAGGCAACTGCTATGCTGTCATTCCAGATATCTATCAGAGCCCACCAAATGAAAGACTCACACAGAGATACTTGTCCACGTAGAATGTGGACTACATTAGAATTTTGGGATCATACTGTTCTTATATATTAAATACTCAGTGCAGAGAGGTGCTGTCTCTTAAAAAAAAATCATTAATTATGATAGGCTGTTATCATTTTTGTTATTTTTCCTAAACACTTGCACATTCTTTGGAGCCACACTATTATCTGAAATTGTATTATTGGAAGTGTGCCTTGTTTTTGAGTTTATTGGTATTCACATATACTTTCTTTAGTTTCTAACTTTGACAGCCTATCACACTATGTTTACTCACCCCTGGAAAGATAAGAGAAAACATCCTGTTCATGAATCTATAATCTATTTTAACTGAATTGACTGGTAATATCAGCCAAATGGTAGTCAATTGCTTTAGAACTATCAGTAAAACCCAGATTTTTTAGAATTATACAACCAAAAGAAATAAAGCAATGTCTTAAATTCTTCATTTTAAAAAAACTGGTTGCTTTGGACTGTTGATTCCCAACATGGAGTAGATGGAAAAGAGAAAAGACAGGGGAAATTGGATAATTTCCCAAGGACTTTTGTCTTCATATGAAGTTTCGCTATTTTTGGAAGTGAATTCTAAGAATATCATAAATGAATTCCTTGAAGGTGATAGTAAAAACATATTGTAAAGACAAGTATGAATTAATTTTTGGTTGAATGCTGTTTTATTCTCACCTTTGCTGTGGGCCTTAATTCAAAGTGATTGAGAATTGACTGATGTTCAGACTCAAAAGATGTTTTCAAGATGAAATACTGAATGTCAGCTCAGTAGCTGTTTCTGCACTTTCTTTGAAAATAGTTATGTCTCCAATAGAAAACACTTAAAAAGTAATGTTTTTTAACCCAGATATTTATTTTTTAATTTAACTTTTAGTTAATTGACATACAGTGCAATATTGGCTTCAGGAGTAAAATTCAGTGATTCGTCACTTACATATACACCCAGTGCTCATCACTACAAGTGTCCTTCTTAGTCCCCATCACCCATCTAGCCCATCCCCCACCACCTCCCTCCATCAACCCTCAGTTTGTTCTCTATCGTTAAGAGTCTCTTGTTAGCCCAGAGATAAAATAATTAACTAATTTTTGTAAAATAAAAATGCATTATGTGAATATGCACAGAACAAGGTAGTCCTGTATTTAAATCTCTCACAAGGAAAATCAACTTGACTTTGCTAATATAAATGTAAGTATATAAGTCTCTAAACTGGAGTTCACTATATAGGTAATTCTTTTGTCTTTACTTTTATGTATTATTGTTCACTTTTAAGTAATTGCTAATGAAAAGTAACACTAGATAAACATTTGATCAGTGCCTAAACCATAGCTTCTTAAAAGCAAGTATACTATCAATGTAAAGGCAGAGGGATCTAGTTTAAATGTTTATTCACATTTGATAGTACTAATGTATTGTAGGTACTCAAATATTATTTTGCCTTTCATTCATTTATTTGTTCACTCAACAAACATTCATAAAGTCTCCTGCTAGACACTGGGGGGACATGAAGATAAGATATAGTCCTGTCCTTCAATGAACTGTACATGGATAAGTATTTATAGACTTTTATTTTGTTTACATATAAATCTCAATCCAGATATCAGGCAGTAAAACAAACTAGACAAAAATACTTCCCTTCTCCTAAGAGCCTAAATAAGTTGCGCAGTTTCTGTTGTTCAGAATTTTTAGTATGTGAAGCCATACTACTAAAGACTAGACAGAAATGCAGGAATAGATGGATCATTCCAATGGCCAGTAACTGTCTCTGCTGAATTTACTTCTCTCCGGACAGAGAAGTGCACGTTATCATTGGAACTCCTTCTTCAGCTGATTTATAGTTGCCTTTTAGTGCAATGAAGCTACCACCACTGAGCTTTGCTTTATTTTTAAAGTGAATATATTATCATTTGTAGAATAAGGGATAAAGCAAATCCAACTCCAGCTCAAACTCGATTGTAAACAACTTTTAAAAGATGGACACTAAACATTTTTTGCACCCAGTTTTTGAGATGCCAAATATTACATGCTGTATTAAAATACATCACGAGGGGTGCCTGGGTGGCTCAGTTGGTTGAGCGTCCAACTTTGGCTCAGGTCAGGATCTCACAGTTCATGAGTTGAAGCCCCAGTTCGGGTTCTGTGCTTTCAGCTCAGAGCCTGGAGCCTGCTTCTGATTCTGTGTTTCCCTCTTTTTCTCTGCCCCTCCCCCTCTCATGGTCTGTCTCTCTCTCTCTCTCTCTCTCTGAAAAATAAACAAAGATTCCATTTTTTTAATTGTAAAATAAATACATCACAATATCATTACTCCTGGTGGAGAGAGCTGTTTTTCCTACTCCAAGTATCTGGAATGGAGCAAGAGTAACAGAAAATTTCTCCTTTAGAGAAATGTGATCACACAGAGATGTATGATAAATACTTTTAATGAGCCCAGTTTCCTAAACTTAGGTCTTTGCAAATGAGTGAGGTGGCAATTGGTTTTCAAGAGTTTGTTTTCAAATATTAGTTCTTCATAAAACTATTCAATAAGTAAACCTAAGAAACACCAGATTCCTTTACTGATTTGGATCCCATAACTTTTTACAAAGCTTTCCTGTCCACTTTTTATAGAGATACCAAAGCCTTCTCCATGGAGAAGGTGAGGTAACAAGTGTTTCATGCATTTAATTTTCTTCAGATACCAGCATGTGCTGACCTCATGCATAATTCAGATTCATACCACTATGACAGAATTATGGATGGCTCAGCCCAGCAATGCAGCCAAAGCATATAGCTATCCAGCAACAGAGCCCACAGCTGCAAAATAAACCCAGCAATGTCTCACAAGGATTTTTGTCAATGTACAGTAGATAGAACCAGAAGGAAGCAAACAGAAGTACTTTCCTTGATCTGGTATTAAAATCATTCCGGGCCTGCATTTCAATAACTATCCCTGTAGTAGAGACTTGGCCTGAGGTTGTGTCAGCAGAATTATTATAGAACCATTCAATTTTCAGACTTGTATCAGTCAGTCACATTCCATGTACGCATAAACATGGCTGGCAACAGATCTTTCCAACCAACTTAAAGTTGTAACGGCTCTATTCCTCTGCCTGTAAATCATGCCTCAGTCTATGTTTATATAGTGCAAAATGAGGTCAATCTTGACAAAGAAAGTGGGGGGTATCAAAACCCCTGCCTGGGTTTTTAAGGCCCCCCAAAAAAGCTGATATACTATGTGTGTTAATTAGGCATATTTTTGAACCAGTACTTACAGTGTCTAAATACTGGTTTTTGGGTTCCTAACCTTTTGATGGTGCGTATTGCTTCCCATTATCTTATTAAAAGTGATATCTTCTTGATATTACTTTAGGAAGCTGATTCTAGGTTTCTTGTTTTGTTTTGATTTTTAGGAAGCTGTTGATAACCCTTCCTCACCCTGTGGAGTGCAACAGTGCCAAAGCCTTCTATATCCTGGAGACTGAGACCCTTGAAGTCACCCTAACAATGAAAAGAGACTTGGACTTCATTAACTTCTTCTGAAGCTTCATGAGTAAGGACGAAACATGTTAAAACAGCACTGCTAAAAAAATAAAAAAAAACCTTTGAAAAATTGGCTAATGTCTCCTCTCTTCTTTATTATTCTGACATATTGCATAAAGGGTCTAAATTCAATTCTAGTGAGATCTTGGTCATTTACAGTCATTCATATTACTCTGGTGGGAAATACTGTTTTCTTATATTCATAAGCTATTCCATTTTTTTGCTGATAGCTGGATAGAATTTACAGGTTAACCAATTAGATTACTGCATGGTCAATTCAAACTGAAATATGACCATGAAGTGGTTGGTTCACTTATTTCGGTAGTCTGAAGAACTTAAGCCAATTAATTATACTATGATACAATCAGTTCCATTGCAACTGGTCATTATTATGGCCAGAAAAGTTTATTTGGTTGCCTTTTCATTGATTTGATCAAATGATTTACAGTGTCCTCTGGCTAGGCTCTCACAATCCTAGAATATACAAATAACAAAGGATTATAAATAGTTTGGTACACCATCCTAAACAACATGTTTTACTTGAATAAGAAATACTTCAGAGCACACAGTGCTATTTAGCTTCCTCAGTCCTGCCTTCAGTGTCTGGATCTGGTTAGGTTAAAAATATTCTTCCTTTTTTTGCACTAATAATTACTAACAATGCCTGTTGGGCTACTGTGTGTGTATTTAGTATTGAAATCCTTGACATTTAAAAGGAATATAAAGAAGAGTGTGATGCATTTACAAAATCTATTCTCTTTCATTTCCTATCTTTATTCATAATTGGGCAGACCTATTTTTATGAATTATGTCAGTGCCCCTGCCCCTTCTGGACTATATTACTGAAGTTTATTTCAGAATTCTTTATGAATAAATCTCATTTTAAAAGCTCCTGTAACTAGGCTTCACACATCACTGTAGAACAGTGGAGTTACCTGAGAGTGAAATTTTGAGAAGAGATGAAAAATTGAAAGTTTATCACTTCTACGTGAACTACTAAGGAACTAAATGCTCAAGCAGATATCTTCCAGACTTACATATGTAGGTAACTGCCAAGCCTCTAGTTTGTGACTAGATCTAATAGAAGTAAAAAACTGAGACATAGTCAAAAGTAGTTGTGTTAAAACATTGAGGTCTTGAAGAGAACTCGCCATTGAAATCACCACCATGACATTCTTCTGTGGGACGGGGGGGTGGGGGTGGGGGCAAGAGTTGAGGATGGGATTAACTAAAAGGAACTAGTGTCTGTGAATTTAAGTCCATGATGTTACAGGAACAAAAGAGTGTCCTACTTTGCTTCCTCAGCATCTTTTTTCAAGGCTGTATTTTGAGAATTTAAGATTACACCCTACAGTGTAAACTCTGGAGCAAGCCTAAGAAGTAACCAATATTTTTCTTCTCTAGAGAGCAACAGTGAGTCAGTGGAAAATGTATCGCTTTTTCCTGTGTGCTGGCCCTAATTACAAAGACCATTATTATTCAAGCTGACTGAATGTGCACAAGTTGTCCCTGGAAGAAAAGATAGAGCATATCCAGGCCAACTTGAATTGGGCTTTGGTTTTGTGGTACTGTATCAATTATGTAATGAAACAGAGCTTCAAGACAATGAAATGTGATCCAGTAATTTATACCCAACTGCCCACCATCCTACTTCACTGTCCTTGGCCTCAGAAGTAACAACTTTGTTGTCACTGTTGTTTAGTTTTTAAGCTAATTCCCTGGACTTTCTTCCTTTAAAGGGGAATAGTCCAGTAAAGCAAATGTAGAAAAGTGAAGACAAAAGGAAATTCGTCTTGTCAGCGTTTTTCTTTTTTTTTTGATGTTTCTTTATTTTTGAGAGAGAGGAAAGGAGCAAGAGAAAGAACACAGTGGGGGAGGGACAGAGACAGAGGGGGACAGAGGATCCAAAGTGGACTCTGTGCCCACAGTTTTTGAGTTGATGGCAGTGAGCCTGATGCAGGGCTCAAAACTCACGAACTGAAAAATCATGACCTGAGCCAAAGATCATGACACTCAACCGACTGAGCCACCCAAACACCCTTTTGTCAGCAATTTTCCAAGAATCTTAGCCATAAGCAAGAGAACTGGAAGTTAAGCCACAATTGTGGCGCATCATTAGTCTTGCCCTTTATGACTTCTTTGGTTCATTTTTTAGTTCCATAATTTCCAGTAGCACTTGTGAGGATTCAGTCATTCGTTCATTCACTCATTTAGGCATTCTCTCAACAAATATTCACTGAGCGCTTACCACATGCCTGGCACTATATCAGGTGCTGGGGATACAGCAATGAGCAAACCAGATGGGGTCCCTGTCCTCACAAAGCAAACAGTTTATCAAGGCAGATGAACAATAACCAAGTAAACATATAAACATGTATTTTCAGCTTTTCACTGGTATGAAGGAAAGGAATGGGTGCTTTGTCTTTACTTAAATTTTAATATTTATTTTTGGGAGAGAGAGAGAGAGAGAGAGAGAATGGGGGAGGGGCAGGTAGAGAGGGAGACACAGAATCTGAAGTAGGTTCCGGGCTCTGAGCTGTCAGCACAGAGTGTTACTTGGGGCTCACACTCGTGAACTGTGAGATCATGACCTGAGCTGAAGTCGGAAGCTCAACCATCTGAGCTACCCAGGCGCCCTTAGAATGGGTGCTTCGAAAATATCCTGAGAGAAGCCAAACTTAAGTCTGGGGAATGAGAGAAGAAAAGGCTTCCTTAAGTATTTAGCTGAAATGTGAAGAATACTTAGGACTTAGCCAGGCAAAGAGAATATTGGGATAAGGAGAGCAGCAGGGCTTCCGGGTACGAAGGGTAGCAAGTATGAAGACGCAGATGGAAAGAACTTGGAGAGTTCAAGGAAATGAAAGTCGGTGTTGTTGGAGTAGGGTGAACCTGGGGAGAGTGGCTGGAGGTGAGGTTGGAAATATAGGCTGGGGTAATGTCATGTAGAACCTTGCAGGCTGAGGTTAGGAAACTGGATTTTATTCTCAGTGCTTTGGGAAAGAGACTATATTAGGCCACAATGGAAATGAGACCAGTTATGATGCTACTGCAATAGCCAGGCAAGTTATTATTCTAAACATTACCCTAAGTACAATTCATTGTTGATTTTTTTTCTAATTAGAAAAATTATGTATATGCTTGCATGTTCCAAGCAGGAGAATTTAACAATAAATATTTAACATAAAAAGCTCTTTAAAAATAAAGCAAAGCTGGGGGGCCTGGGTGGCTCAGTTGGATTAAGTGTCCAACTCTTGATCTTGGCTCAGGTCATGATCTCATGGTTCAAGAGTCAATCCTCATGTCTAGCACTGCTCTGACAGCATGGAGTCTGCTTGGAATTCTCTGTCCCTCTCTCTCTCCGTCCCTACCCCACTGGTGCTTGCTCTCTCTTGCAAAATAAATAAATGTATAAAAAATAAAAAATAAAAAATAAAAATAAAGCAAAGCTAAAAATCAACTGTAAGCCAACAAACCATGAATAAGCACTCTTACCATTTTTAGTGCCCCTTTTTGACTTTTTTTCAATGCATAACATAGATATTATTTCCCCCTAAATGGGATAATATTGCACAAACTGGTTTTATAACCCACTTTCTTTTAATTTCCAAGTAAATTCTTTTTTATTTTCGTTTTTTAGAATTCTAATTCTTTGGCAGTGTGATAAAAGATCTATGTGTACTTTAAAAATTTTTTTAATGTTTATTTATTTTTGAGAGAGACAGAGCATGAGGGAGGGGCAGAGAGGGGGGGGAAAACAGAGAATCCCAAGCAGGCTCCATGCTGTCACTGCAAAGCCGGACATGGGGCTTGAACCCATGAACTGGAAGATCATGACCTGAGCTGAAATCAAGAGCTGGATGATTAACCAACTAAGCCACCCAGGTGCCCCAGTCTATGTATATTTTTAAAGAATGAGTATTTTGTAATTATTGGGAATAGAATTTTATATACATCAATTAAAGGTTTTGTTAATATTTATTTCTCTTTGAGTGAGAGAGACACAGAGCGTGAGCAGGGAGAGGGGCAGAGAGAGAGGGAGACAGAATCAGAAGCAGGCTCTAAGCTGTCAGCACAGAGCCCGACATATAGCTTGAACTCAACAAACCACGAGATCATGACCTGAGCTAAAGTCCGATGCTTAACCAATTGAGCCACTTAGGCACCCTGAAGTGGTTTGGTTTTGTTTTGTTTTTTCATTGGGCTGGTCAAATCTACATTCTTGTTAATTTTTGGTCTGCTCTCTCTATCAACGTGGAGAGGCATATTAAAATTTACCTCCTATGATAGATAGATTTGTTGGTATCTCCTCGTAATTCAGTCAAATTTTGCTTTATGTATTTTGAGGCAATATATTTAGGTGCAGAGAGATTTAGAACTGTTACATCTTCCTGGCGAATTCTTTCTGTTATCAATATACTATGACACTCTTTATCCTTAATAATATTTGTCACTTTGTGTGTTTTGTATGCATTATACTTTTTGTATATTTCTATATTTAACTTAAACATACCTATATCAGTTTTGGTTAGTATTTGCTTGGTTTATCTTTTTCTATCATTTGTTATGCCCTTATGATTTAGGTAACTTTCATGAAAGGAATTTAGCTACATTTTGGATTTTTAAATGCAAACAAGATTCTGTCTTTACACTTACATGTTTTACTCTAGGCTGTAAGTGTATTTTGATTAATGATGCATTTGGATTTATTTATATCCCCTTATGGGATTTTTCTCTTATTCTACTTTCTTCTACACTTTTTTCCCCTCCTTTCATGACGTTTTTCCCATTAGTCAGATTGTTTTCTTTCCTTCTCCTACCAGTTTGGAAGTTATACATTTTGGGTCTTTCTTTTCCTCTTACTTAAAATGTCTAAATATTCTCAAAGCTCTGCTCACCCTTAAAACATTTCAAGGACTTAGATAATTTTAACAAAATTATCTCCAACTTTGTTTTCTTTTTCATGTTTATTTTTTAACATTTATTTATTTTGAGAGGGGGGTAGGGAGCAGAGAGAGAGAGGGAGAGAGAGAGAATCCCAAGCAGGCTCTGCACTATCAGTGCACTATCAGTGTG